CACTTGAAGCTCAGTCTTTGTATACTTTGGGTCTTAATCGCAGTCCCGGAGCTGTTGCTGGAATATTTAGGCCAATACTGAATGTTAAGTTTACTGCATCCTTCTTTAGTCTACTTTTGTCTCCTGTAAACAAGTATGTGCAAATATTACTTTTGTTTTGTACAGAGTTAAAGTAGAATATAATTAAAATTTACTTAGGAAAAAGCAAAGACCCTACAAGTACTGATCAAGTGAAGGAAAAATAACTCATTATTCCTGGTGTTAAAATTTAATGATTAATGACATATACTTCGTGAATTACTAATTAGAATATATCAAAATTATTGTTTTACCGAAAATCTAACCCTTCTTATCGCCGTCTCCGAAATTCTGATGACAAGCAACGTCGTGTTTACCATGCAAGCTTCCCTAGTCAGCTGATTTTAATGACCGATTTAGCATCTCTTTTCGTCTGAAACAAATGTCTGGATCTGAAAAAAATGAGTGTCCGCAACCTCTACAACATCCTGGCACATCACAGCGAGTTGGCATTCCTTACAAATAAATTAATTTGGAGGTATATTACCAGGAGAAACTTCTGTGTCTCGCCACGCTACCATTTGTTTACACTCAGCGCTTGACAAATTCAAACGTTTGCGTAACCACCTCTAATACCGCAGCGCCACCCGACGGTTAATGACGTGAATGCATACTATTAGATATCCCTTACCTTACCTTGTTTCAGTTATGTATATTTAGGATACCCCTGTGTTTATTTTTATTTTGGTCTACATTCTTGGATGTATGGAAGCCCTTTAGTACAATAAATACATATTTTTGAAGTCACATATGCTCCCCCTATATTTTTCCATTATTTAATTATTTTTGGATAAATCCATTTGTTATATTTTTGGGAAACATTTTGCTTTTTGTTATCAACTAGTCTAAAGTCATATTTTTACCTTTGTTATAATAAATTACAAGTTGCTGTCCTTTAAAAAAGGACTGCAATACGTGGACCATTAGCGTGTTTTTTCTAACTGAAATTCAATTAAGAAAATTTCTAGGTGTAGGGAATATTCATGAAAGGTTTGTTCACTTATTCTATAATTATCTTCCACTTAAAACTGATCGTACTCTCAAAGCACAAATGTGAAATTTTATCTCCGATTAGCGATCTTTAGTTTTGTCAGTTTTAACATGTTTTAAAGTAGTTCTATACTCGCACTACGTCATTTACGAATAGTAAAACCGGAACCGCGCGTCCTTTTTCCGAGATGAGAGTTTTTAACTATATTGGTTTGACTTTTACTTAGCGTTTTAAATATCCGGTAACGATTTTGCTCGAAGTCGGTCGCGTCAACAAACACATATTGTACAGTTTAAGGATAAATTTATTAAAAAGAAAAGTCTGGGAACAGCTTTCGGTTGACAGAAATAATTAGGTAATAAAACGATATTTCTGTGAATGATGCATGTTTGATATGCCGCGTCGAAAACACGGACCATATACATGCTACATCAGAACATGACTTACATGACTGTATCAAACTATCGAGGCGACTATTGTCGGCGGCCAAGTTGAAACTAATAGTGATAATTCGGAAAAAAAGTAATGACTACGATTTGACGTAGAAAATTTATGGATTTCACTAATCAAACATTACAAAATTTACTTTAAATAATAATAATTGCATAAAACACATACCCCCCTCCCCCAACCTGCTTACCCACGAACCCCTATGCAAAATAATCTTTTGAATAAGTATTTGACAAAAGTTGATTCACTTGCAGCATACTTTGTTACTTTCTGTAACAAAATCATCCAGTTTCTGAGAATCAGTGAATTACTTTCATTTTCATCGTCTCCAATTTAAAGACAAGTGTGTTTTATTTATTTTTTTTTTCGAGTAAAATAAGATAAATTTTAGGGACAATAGGTTTTTGGTGTGTATTTATTGTTTTAAATAATGTATAAGCTTGTTAATACAAGTATACACTCAAACATTAACAGTATTACAGAAATATGTGACAGTACATTACTTCTGGAAGAAAGAAAATAGGGGGGTACCTTTATAGTGTAGAGCTCATACCACGAAAAGTAATGCGTCAACATATAATTTTTTAAAGCTTATTATTTTTCTTAAATATAATTTAGTAAAAATAATGCAGATTTACGAAGTTTGAGTCCATAATTTTTTTTTAAATGACCGAGATTGTCCTGGGAAGCATATTTTCTCACATTAAATTTTGATACAATAGCCTAACAAAGTGCATCTATTTATAATAATTCATGCAAAAGAATGATATTCTATTGTTTAATAACATGTTTCTACTCTATTTTGGGTATTAAAGTTGAATATTTAGACTTAAATTAATTTTATACAACAAAATCTAGGATAGGTAAAATTTCGGTATTTTATATTTCGGGATATATACTCCGATGGGCTATAGCGAAAAAGTGAACATGTTGACATATAATTTTTCTTGTGTCTATCCATTGCTGGGATGTATGTCTATCTTATAAATGCAGATTTTTAAAGATTGAGCCCATTTAGTGCCGAGTATAGAACTACCTTAAAACATCGGGTTATTTTGACACGTTTTACACATATTGGCTGGGACTTGACACCTGTTCTGGATTTATACGGAAGAAATTTATCATGGGAATAATGGAGATCTGATGATACACGTGTAGCACACCTCTGTACTACGTAGATTTGTTTTTATACGCCCGTCTTAAGACGGGACGTATTATGTTATAGGCTTCATGTCCGTCTGTCCGTCCGCTCTCACGAAATAATGGTTAAGTGACAGTTTTTGTGCCCATTTAAGATTTATGTGACTCTTTTGTTTTATGTGACTGTCACATACAAATTTGATTTTTTTTTTTTAGCAGAAATGAGTGTTATGTGACTTAAAAAATCATTCTAAAGGAGTGTCACATAAAAAAATACGGACAATATTGTCCGTATATGGACGTCCGTCAAAAAGTTTTGAGATTTACCTCCCGTACCCCATGTATCATGTTTTGCGCCACATAAATTTTTTGGAAAAAGTCACATAAATTTGTCAGTCACATAACCTGCATTTCGTGGGTCCGTCCGTCTGTCCGTCCGTCCGTCTGTCCATTCTTGTCCGGCTCATAACTTCAATACTATTAGGCATAGGATTATCAAACTTTATCAACTGATACTTTTTGGGTAGACGGTGTGTCGCGCACCAAAAGTAGGTCGCTCTGACCTTTAATAAAGATGCTATGGCCAAATATGGAAAAATCCTGTCCGGCTCATAACTAGAAAACTATTAGACCTAGAGCTATCAAACTTGGCAAAAGTATACATCTTAGGTAGAAGGTGTGTCGCGACCTATTTCAAGGTCACTGTGACCTTTAATTTTAGTGAAATTTTTAAAAAATTTAAGTTTTTTAAATTTTAAATTTCGTAATCCTAAAAATGTAAAAAATAGAGTTGTATCCTTATTAAAAAGTATTAAATCAAGTAAAAACTTATTTTTTCATCATATACTTTACAGCAATCTTAAACAAATTTCAGTGTTAATGAGAGGAATTCAGTTTGTCCCATGGGCATAATTATCAAACACTGGCCAGGAAGAATTTTGATAGCAGAAAGTTGCATGTCAAATTAGAGAGAAATTAATGAGTTTAGTGTGAGGAGGTTTGGTGTTATCCCTTGGGTATTGGGCAAATGGACAGCCAGCCTAGCTGTTAGATTAAAAATAGCTCTTGGTGGCTAGCTAAGTTTTAAAATGAATTTGATAAAAAGTAATTAAAACTTATTTGATATTGCATAATAAACTAATAATCTGATATTATATAATATTAATTAATTAAAAACTAATTTTATGGGGTGGGGTTGAATCAGCATGCCTACTTGACCATATGAATTAAATATAAAACCTGTCTGGCATTAAATCTAAAAAGAAATCATGGAGTATTTTATATGTTTTAAAAGTGTTTTAGGATAAAAAGTGCAGATCCATTAATATTTAGGGAGTAATGAGTAGACAAGCATCCAGTCAAAGATTAATTAATGAGTTCAATGTAGGAAGGCTATCTGATCAAGCGCTGCCTTATCTGTCTTTGGGGATTAGACAGAAGAACTGCTGGTCATAGCAAATGTCATTTGATGGCCAGCCTTTCTTTTCAAAATTAATTTGGCATAGATTAAGTTGTTAAGGCCTCACCAATAAAATTTCTTGTTCGTCGGACCCGCGCGCTCGTATTTTAGAGAAACGTAAAAAATAATATTATTTTTAAATATCCCGCTTCCGGAAATTTTCGTTCCAATTCCCGCCCCATTTTCATTTTATTTTAAATACTCGGTCATGTTTGCGTTTGGAATTGAGAAGAAAACTTCACATTTCGTCAAAAAACAAGACAACATTGATCGATTTGCAAGAGAAAAGACACTTGCGACTGTTGACACTGATGACTGATGTTTTGACTATTGAATTAATATGACAGTATATGTCGTTAAAAAATCGGCGCGAACAGGTGATTGGGGTGAAACTATCTGCATTTAGCTCCAATAATGCACAGTTTTAAAGCATGCTTTTAGAGATACGACAAGGTAACAAGTAAACCTTAATATGTTGACGGTGCGACCGTTACAGCGAGCGCAAACTCTTCTATTGTGTTTATTTAGATCGGGCTCGTCAAACCGCACGTGACATTTGGTGCGTCTAGACTCTGACGTCACATGACGTATGTAAGTCGCAATATTCCGAGAAAAAGCCTGAACAGTGCTGAAAGTAAATGAAGAACGTTTTAATTTCTATGTATCTTCAATATATATCCATTAAATCAAGGCGAGTAAACTTTTTGTTGAACATTTGCCGTGATTCTCGCGAGAACGTAACTTAACAAGTGTTGCATTGTGGGTCGAAATTCGGCGTCAAAAAATTCCATCGAATGAATGTGCAGTAGTCCGAATTTTCTCTTCGCACAGGCGTTGCTTTAAGAGCTCGCAGTGACGAGCGTCGCTTCGCGACGCTCGCTGCGCTCGCTATAACTCCATCGTGACCGTGGTGAACTGTGAGGATTGGATAGAGCATATCTGTTATGTTTAGGCAGATAAGCCCATCATAGACATACATCAAATTCTGGAGATGCCTAAATGTAAGTGTAAGGTATTAACATTATTAAGATTAGTAAAAGATGCATATATACATTTTTTCTAATAAGTATGTACATTGTATTAAAAACTTTTTGCAAGTTGCATTTATTTTATTTTAGGGAGACTTCTTTGGGATGTTGAGTGTTGAAGCAACTAGTTCCATCAAGAATGGGTGGTTTTTCCTGAATTTCTACAGTGAAAATAACTGGACTAAAACAACGAGAACTGTTCATATAGTGCAGACATATCAGTCATTCAAGAAGGTCTTCAGTTGAACGGTCAACCATACTGATAGTGCATGAAAATTATAGGAAGATAATATTTCCATGAAGCAGTACAGAATCGTTTCCATCTCAGGCAATTCTTCAACAGATTCCAGGTTTACATGTACTAATTCCAAGCTGTTGTGGATCAACCAGAAGAAATTAAATTAAAGTATCCATCGTCCTAAATGATCCGCCAAAGTAGCTTCCCATAATTGGCATGATATTTAAACAACTTTGGTACTTTATTTTAAAATATATATCAGTCAACTCTTGAGAATAGAAAAAAGTCTTGATTTTAATGATATTTTCTCATTTTATTACTGAAGTTCAACTTTGTTATTTTGGGCTCTCTGCCAGTTATATTTTTTATTATATATTTGTGAATTACTATATGTATTATAATAATAACTTATCACTGCTGCCATAACTTGTCGAAGGTTCTACAATGTCTGATTTTTTATTATGTGAATTAAAATTTGGGGCTATGTTAAGCTTCTGATATCATGGATATAGTGCATAAATACAGGAAAATAATAATGATAATTACTGTATTGCTGCTGGAATTAGCCACTTTTATGTGAATGTACATAGTCTTGATCACATCATATTTGTTATTACATACATGTAAAAGATGGAGGTAACAAACACTTTTTAAAAGTGATAAATCTCATAAATGTACATATAGTAAACAAAGCAAATCTTGTACAGGGCAAAAACATGGTCCCCTGATAACACCAAAGGTTTGGGGTGCATTGAAGAGTTAATATTCTATATTATTAGGAGGTTTATTTGCAGAATTTTGTACCTTTATGAAATGAATGTAATTAAAGTGAGAAACCATGTTGTGACTGATTTGTTTATGTACAAATATGGAATATTGAATTCTTACATGATGAGGGGAATTGGAAAAGATTTCATAGTGATTTACTCTAGAAATGTAAAGGAAAACAAAAAATATATAATCGCTCGCTCCATTATTTTACTTAACCGCCTGGAAAATATGTCGATTGAAAATAATAATATTATAATTATCAAATCGCTCGCTCGCCCCAATTTTTAGGGGTCAGTTGTCCGAAGAACAAGAAATTTTATTGGTGTGGCCTAAGACTAATTTGATATTGTTTATTATGATGGCCGGCATTTGACAAAGTCTAACACAAACAGTATAGAAATCTGTCAGTTATGTAATATTTGTTATAATTATGCCTACAGCACAGGGGATGGATAAAGAAATATTTTTAAAAAAAAATGGAAAATTTAAAAAAAAAAATGGAAAAATCATGGAAATCTTAGAATCAAGGTTGAAGTGATTTTCTTGCAGTCTAAACTGTTAAAGATAATTGTGTAATATTTTGACGGGCGTATCATGCTGTGGCATGGCACTTTATTTATTTTGTCGGAGCCCCCCCCCCCCCCAACACACACACACACTTTAAAAGCCCTTGCTACAGACCTTTATAAAACAATATTTAGATTGCTGAAATATTAAATTATTTTGTGAGTCTTGATGCACAAAACTAATGCCAGTGAAAACTTGCTCTATCTTTTGAAAGCTGCATGTATCTCTGTTCGCTGAGTGACGTTTCTAATTCAAGTTGTTCTTAAAATGTTTGTACCATAGAATCAATGTTTAGTATAAAAGTATATGTAAAAGAGAGGAAATCTGATCTGCCAATGAATATGTAAATGCGATATGCAGATTTAAAAGCGCGATTTGCCAATGAATGGCATATTTTAATTCGAATAGGGCGAATTATTCTACGGGCAAGTTACCTAAGGTGCGAACTCTCTAGCATTCGCGCGCATGCGTAGCCTGTCGTTTGCCCAGGGCATCCGGTTTAACTTCGCTTATATATTTACTGCGTGGACCGCAGGGTCCACGCAATAAAACTTTACAAATCTTTTCATTTCAAAACAAGGTGATGATCATAATCTGGGAATCACTAAAGAACCTGGGTAGATAATTTTACCAGTGTGGCCCATATATATTGGTTTAAGACTTTCAATCCCAAATACTATAATCAATAGAGTATATTGAATTAAATTATTACATCAAAGTTAGGACTTGTGCTTTGGGAAAGGTTCGTCTTATTTTTAGTCCCTTGATTACACTGGTTCCCGTTACATTTTTGGTGCCTGTGAAACCAGGATTCCTAGACAGAAACCATGACTTCACCTTTACCTTCCTTCCATACATCCACACCCAAAGATAGTGGAGCTAGGCCTAAAACTCATATTCAGGGTGCCCATACACAAGAGTTAGAAAATAGTCTTTACCCCAATTTTGTAGCCCTTGAAAAAGAGCCTGATAGTATTGATGAGAGAAAGATGGACAGAGAGTTTCAAGAGATGACTGAAATCTATGAGAGAGTGAAGAAGGAGTATGAGAAGAGAAAGTCAGTGACTCAGAATGAAAGTGCCAAGTTAGGTTGTTCTTCTGTTGATAAAAGTACCAGAGTAGACAAGAAAGTCAGTTTTAAGGATTCAACTCAAGGTTCTCTTGTGAGTTTAGGTGCATCTTCACATAGTAGGGAAACAGAGATGGATGCATTACAGAGACAAATTAAAGAGTTAGAAATACAGGAATTAGAGCTGTCCATAGCACTGCATAGGTCACAGTTAGATGCATACAAGACTACAACAGATACATCTACTCCAACAGGCACAACTCAAACAGCTAGGACGACACCTACACAGTTAGGCACACAGCACTCTCTTCCTTCATCAAGGAAAAATAGATTTGCATCAGTAGATACATCTAGTGTCAATAGGTCAGATCATAGCAATCCTGTCAGAAAGGAAAAGGAACCTGATAAATTTGATGGTAGATCAGTAGAGTGGAAAGACTTTATTGTGCATTTTGAACAAGTTTCCTCCTGGAATAAGTGGTCATATCATGAACAGGGACAACAGTTAGTTATGTGTTTAAGAGGAGAGGCTCAGAAGTTGTTAGGTGATCTTACAGTTGAACAGAGGTCTGATTATGATTTGCTTAAATATATTTTGACTAAAAGGTTCAATCCACAAGAGTTAGTTATTGCTCATAGATGTGAGTTTAGGTCACGCAGAAGAAAGTCTGGTGAAAATCCTTCTGACTTCGGTTATTCTTTAAGAAAGCTAGGGTGTTTGGCATTTCCTGACATGACATATAAAGATAGGGAGATCAATGTCCTTGAACAGTTTATCAATGGTATAGGTAATTCTGTCATTCATGACCATGTCATTTTTCATCATCCTCAGTCATTAGAAGCAGCTATATCATTAGCGATTGAGTTCGAGGCTGTTAAGGGTTCTCAGTTGAGTATGTCAAAACCAGTGAAAGTAGAGGGTGTAAATTTGGTGCAATCTAAGTCAGACAGTGGTCATCAACAAACAGATTCCATACAAAGTAAAGATAAACAAGACTCTCCACTTGAGTCGAAAAGTTTGAGTGAACTGTTTAAGACATTAGAATCTTGTGTAGAGAAACTGTCCAAATCAATCAATAGAACAAACAGAGGGGGAAAGAAACATTCAGGGAAAATGTCATATACAGAGTGCTATAACTGTCACAAATTAAGGCATATAGCTAAAGATTGTCCCCACAAAGGTTCAAAATTTTCTACACTTGCAAAGACAGACAAACAGACAAATCAGGAAAACATTTAGGGGTTGCTCTAGATGCCCATAGTGTGACCCAGAGTTGTAATGGAAAAGAGGGCAAGAATATTAAGATCAATATTCTGGGAAAATCTTGTTTATTGGCCAGTTGTTCTATAGAGAATGTTGTACATAAGTTTTTAGTTGATACAGGTTCAGTGGCTAGTATTTTATCCAAAGATGTTTTTATGACTTTGAAAAATAGGCCAACATTGGTAGAAACAGATTTAAATCTCACTGCAGCAGATGGTGGTAAATTGAACATTTTAGGCACAGTTAACCTTCAGTTTAGCCTTGGGAATGGTAGCTTTTGTCATGAGTTTATTGTTGCAGAGGTAGATGACCTCAAGGGTATTTTGGGAATGGATTTCCTCGAGCAACATAATGTGACAATTCAGGTTGCACAAGGCTTACTGATGTTAGCCGATCAGCAACATGTTCAGTTAGAAAGAGATTACACTCCTGTATGTACTAGGGTCAAGTTGTCTAAGAAAGTAGTCATTCCACCTGATAGTGAAATCATTGTACCAGGTTATGCTGTAGGTGTCAAGAACACATCTGTAAATAATCTAGTTGAACCATTTCAGTTTCTACAAAAGAAAGGTCTATTAGTTGCCAGAACCTTGGTTAATCCAGAAAATATACAATTTTCTGTAGCAAATATCTCAGATAGGCCAATAAAATTTGACAAGCACACCACTGTAGCTTCCTTACAACCTGTAAATATTGTACAGTCAAATACCAATAGTGAGTTAGATGTTGACGGTTCACGAGAGTTACCAGAACATTTACAATCTTTGTTTGATAGATCTTCCAAATGCTTGACACAAGAACAAAAATCAACTTTGTTCGACTTTCTAGTTTCCTACAAGGACATATTTGTTGGTCCGGATGGAAAATTCGGTAGAACTAAATTAGTCAAGCATAAGATAGATACTGAAGACCACAAACCTATAAAGATACCACCTCGAAGGTTACCATTTGCACAGAGAGACATAGTAGAAAAAGAAATTCAGAAAATGTTAGATAACAACATCATAGAACCTAGTGAAAGTCCATGGTCTGCCACCTTATTATTAGTAGAAAAGAAAGACATGGAGATTTTGTGTTGATTATAGGCAGTTGAACAAAGTCACTAAAAAGGATGCTTATCCTTTACCTAGAATAGACAAGTCATTAGATGCATTAGCAGGTGCCTCATGGTTCTGTACTTTAGATCTTGTCTCGGGTTATTGGCAATGTGAGATGGAAGAGGAAGACAAACCTAAAACTGCATTTACTACTCACATGGGTTTATTTCAATTCCAAGTTCTACCTTTTGGAATTTCTAATGCCCCTAGTTGTTATGAGAGGTTAATGGAACTAGTTTTAAGGGGTCTTAGATGGGAAAAATGTCTTTGTTATCTTGACGACATCATCGTCTTTGGTTCCAGTTTTGAACAGGCAGTAGAAAATTTGAAAATCGTATTTGATAGGTTAAGATCGGCAAACTTGACACTTAAACCATCCAAGTGTGATTTGTTTCAACAAAAGGTCTCTTTCTTAGGTCACGTTGTTTCAGAGCAAGGGATTCAATGTGATCCCGAGAAGATCAGCAGTATTGAATCTTGGCCAGTTCCTAGTAATGCTACAGAAGTTCGTAGTTTCTTAGGGCTTGCAGGGTATTATAGGCGGTTCATCCCAGATTTTTCAACAATTGCTAGTCCTCTGACATATTTAACTAGGAAAAAGGCAAAATTTTTATGGACCCCTGTACACCAAGTTGCTTTTGACAAGCTTAAAGAGCTACTTACTACTGCTCCCATTTTGGCATACCCTGATAATCATTCAGAGTTTATTCTAGACACTGACGCTAGTAACACTGGTATAGAACAGGTACTTGTGGACAGGACCCCACCCCCCCACCCCCGATATTCAACCCCGGGGCTTATTGGACATTTTTTTTCAAAAATTATATTTATTACACTTATTCATCATGTGTACAATATGAAAAAAAAAAAATCGTCAAAACCCAAAAACAATCGCTCCACAAAAAAAATACCCCTCTATACATTATAAGGGAGAAAGGTATGCCACTCTGGTTTGAAGCAACGGAAGTGCATAGAGAATGTATGATAAAACCCGAGAGAGATTATTACATCAGTCTAAAACTCTCTCGGACGATATCCTTATATGTGATACATTCTCTATGCACTTCCGTTGCGATTACCTTAGGAAATTTCAACGTTCTGACTGGAAGGCTGTTTAAGGAGATAATCAGATATTGTGGGATTCTTACCAGATGCAGAGTTAATCCGATAGCATGCACTAAGACGGAAATATATGTACAGACGATGTGAATCGACATTTTAGGTTGAAATAAAATAAATACATGTTTTAAACCTAGGTAGACCAGTGGGGGTAAATCGTAAACAAACCGGAGTGGCATACCTTTCTCCCTTATTATGTATAGAGGGGTATTTTTTTTCCTGGAGCAATTGTTTTGGGGTTTTGACGATTTTTGCATAATGTAAATATGATGAATAAGCGTAATAAATATAATTTTTGGAAAAATGTCCAATAAGCCCCGGGGTTGAATATCAGGGGAGGGGGGGGGGGTCCTGTCCACAAGTACCTGTGTGGTATAGGTGCTGTCTTGTCTCAAATACAAAATGGTGAAGAGAGAGTTGTAGCATATGCTAGTCGCACCCTAAACAAACATCAGAATAAGTACTGTACAACATACAAAGAGCTATTAGCAGTAGTTACATTCATCAGACAGTACAGACATTTTCTTTGGGGTAGGCACTTTACAGTTAGGACTGACAATGATAATGAAACACCGTAGTTGACCATATAGAGATATCTAGTGATCAGAACAGTACACTCTGTTTATTTAAAGTCTTCTAACTTTAGAATTACGGATAATGATTCAATGATAGAAACTACAATTTTGTTTGTGGTTCAGTAGATGAACAAATTTATTATCTTTATGGGTTTCTAAGTTAGATTACCATCTATTAAGTTAGATATCTTGATTACGATAGGAATCTTGTGGTAGACTAGATAGTAAATACCGGCCGGTTTACTAAATCTTAGACTTTGTAGAAAGCAAGAAGTCATGTGATCATAAATATCTGACTTATTATACAATTCAGTCCTTTATATTTTAAGTACTATTATAATAATGGAGTTAGGGGAAAAGTATAAACACTTTATTTAAATATTTAATACTCAATTTTGTCTTTTAAATTAGAAGAGGATGGAGGACATTCTTAACTTGGAAGTAGACGAGAAGGAAATGGAATTTTTGGACGTAGAGGAAGAAGGAGAAGAGTGGCCCGAGGGAGGCATGTCATGCCCTGTTTTGGCATGCCCCAATAGAAATCACCATTTCAAGTCATTGAATAATTACGCGGCACAATTTCACAGATTCCACAAGAAGAAGATTACACTCTACAGTTGTCCTATATGCAAAGTAAAGGATTCCAAACGTTCGGAAATAACAAGACATTGTAAGAAATATCATAAAGATAGGCAAGTAGGACACATTGAGGGAAAAACGGTTGACAATTCGAAATTTGTTGATCCTGGAGACTTCAGGAAACCTAGGAAGCGCATATACAGAGAAGAGAGAGAGAAAGCTCGCCAGGAGAGGTTGATGAACCATCCCAGGAAACCTCTTTTCGAACTGCCAGAGGATTTCAACGCAAGGGACCATCGATACCCTGTTGGTGGATACAAACATTAATGGTGTTATCTCTATCAAAAGTTGTCATTATGATTTAAGTCCAAAAATTGTAATTTTTGTTTTAAGGAGGGGGGAATGTGACAATGTTTTTCTTAATTGAGATATCAGATTTATAGAGGGCGGAGCCCTCTCACGGGCCCGAAGGGCCCGTGAGAGCGAAGCTCTCCCTATAGGTAACACGTATGTATATGAAAAATAAAAGAAATCTATTGTAAACAATATGTCATTTACAATACCTATGGAACTGAGATTCTTGTCGCCAATATGGCGTCGTCGCTAAAATGGCGTCGATTTTATCCACGCGCAAATTCTCGTTGTTGATGAGACTCATCAAAGTAAAAAACATTTAACCCAAGGATAATGTGTAGTGATTCTTTTTAACTTCAAATCAAATTCATTAGTAATCAGCCCTTCCTACTTTCGTTTTAGACGCTTAGGTTTTATTTATAGTTCGCGCTAACAAGTAAAACGGCATTTGATTGGTCAGAATTTCCCTAAAGGCGGCGCTGTCGTCTGCACGATGGAGGAGCGGATCTATCTGTGGCCCCTTTCACAAGAAAATCCTTCTTTATTTGCCATTGAATAATAAATGTCTTCAGGATTATACTTGTCAATACATACCAAGCAAGAAATAGAGGGGTTTTTTTTGACAGTATAATTTTTGAACGTTTAAATTTTTTTTAAAAGTGATAAAATAAAATACCCTGTGAAAAGTCTCACAGGGCACTCAATAAGATTGTATGGGTTTTTTCTTTTCCTTTTTTTAAGGTTTCCAAATTATTTATGAATATCTACTTGTACATGGATACATAAATATTTAGCAGATCTATGGAAGTCTGAATCTCATTTTTGTTGTGATTTTTTAAAATCTAATATTTTGTTTTATAAAGTTTTTCAAATGACAAAATTTCAGTTTCTTATAAAGATCAGTATTAAAAGAAAAATCTAATACCGGTAGTACGCTGTATGCATTTAAAAAATTCAAAAAGATTTTTTTTTTTTTGACAATTTGCAATTACATATTAAGTCTAAATTAAAGCAGGAAAAAATAAGTTAAACAATGTATAATGTACAGTCTGGAGAGGTAGTTGTTCAGTCTACATACATTTTTCAATAAATGCATGAAAATATCCACAAAGTTATATACAAATTTAAAGTGCAGTGCATGCTGTTAATGTATACAAACCGGTACCTATATATACATTAAAATACTCAAATTTAATACACATCAAGCATATTAATATAGTTTTCAATCTTAATAAATCTGCTTATCTATTAAAAACATGAAGTAAATATTCAGAATCTTTGAATTTATTTTTCTCATAAAAGGTGTGATGCTTCTATATTTTCAACCCTTGTGATAGTAACTCAGTCAAATGTTGGTCTGATGATTAGATTCATCCAGGAAGTAGATCACCTGTCTGTAGTTTGGGTCCCAAGTTCGCCTTCTGAACTGGTCTTGAAAATGATATTGTTCTTACTTTAGATGACATCATAACCATGTAATGGGAGTAATAACAGTTGAGAAATATGACTTGAGGTTTCTAGATAAGTGTACAGTTGTTAAATAAGCATATAAACCAAGAAGTGAAAGAAAAAGAATTGTTGCTGAGAAAAAGTTTATGAATTGATTTTTTTTTTGAATTATTATTTGTTGGATATAACTAGTATTTTAGTACGAGTTTACTGTTACTTGTATAACTATAAAAGTTTAAGGTGTAGTTGGACCTAGGTGTCTCACATTTCTTTGGCCTGGTATGTTGAACCCATCACTGGTCCAATGGCCCAATGCATGCCCCTTTTTTTTCCCACGACGTTCTTGGACTTTAAGCGCTCTGGCTAGACAACCATTCATCTCATGATGAAATACTCAGTATCTTGCATTATTTGAATGAAAAGTAATGAGGTACATGTAAGAGATGGGAAAACTTTTTTTTTCAAGAGAACCGAGTTCTTTGTTATGATTTTCTGACACTGACCATAGATCTGCATGAAGTTAACCCTTTGCTTTAGGACTATGCATTGACAATTTCAGAATTTAACTGATCAACTGATTTATCATTAAACAATAAAATGTAGCAATTTTCTCTTCACAGCTCCGCCCTCACTAACGGTCACACCGTAAAACATATTAGCTATATAATGTTTGTACATTAGGCCAATTATACTTGTATTTACTTCTGAAGTCATTTCAAAATAGTACAAAGTTAATATTTCGACTTTACAGATGTTTACCTTTCACTTCTTTATGTAATTCATTGAAACCGCCATATTGTCAGTCACACCAATCGTACGATTCGATTCAACTTTCGGCAGCTCCCTGCTCCCCATTCGCGCATGCGCATTGAGACTTTCGGTTCCACTTCGGATTGTGAAAAAGAA